ATGGATTAGCAAGCGCGAAGCATTTTTTTACTGGGTTTAAAATCCGGAATTAACAGGACAGCTTGAACACTCGGTTTGTGGATCCCATGTTAATAATGCAGTGGAATGCTCTCGCTCGCCGGACTCGATAAGAACAGACCCCTTTGTTCCTGAACTGCAAACTTCCAGACAGCATTCAACACTTGTTAGGCGCAACTTCCGAAGCCTTCCAAATTGTTTTTTACTCTTTCATAATCATTACTCATTAAAATTCGGAGACTATTGGCTGTTAGCAAGATTACTGAGCAACACCCATGCCAACTGGATTTCTCGCGCGATCGCTCTGAAACCTATTCGCCGTGCGCCGGGGATGCATTGTCTAAAGAGTACGTCTAAAAATATTGTCTAAAGAATATGAAAAGATACTTAAGGCATTTTTAGCACCACTGCTCTCCCTGTCTTCTGCTTCGATCACTGTTCATATTCGGCATCCGCACGTTTCTGTCTTCAGCATAGTTGCATTGAAGAGATGGTCATTCGACACTTTTGAGGATATTGACGATGTTTTCAAAGTTCTAAGATCACTGCTTTTTGTTCATCTCATATTCACTATGTCATGTTGTATAACATACAGTTGTGTTTTTTGTGTTTAGCCGTGCTGTTTTTACTGCGTGGTAGTCTGCTGATCAAGCTTAATAAAGGCCCAAACTAGGGAAATTCCTTTTTCCATGACTTCGTTGCCAAAAGAAAAAACTGGAAACGGATTATTTTTGAATCATTAGGGTTGGATAACATGGATTTTAATTTCGAATTTTATTCTAATTGATCCATAATCTCATGCGCGAGCGGAAAACAAAACAGAAGCTTCACGCTGCAAATTTTGTAAAATTTATTCGTTTACCGCTTTAACACCAGGAACTTTAAGTTTAGGCCTTCAAACATACCTTATTTAAATTTATGGTTTCAAATACAATCTTAAAGCAGTTTTATAAACTAATAAGCTTCGAATGCAGCACTCTAGACAATAAAAGTTTTTGTAATTCTAGCTGTTTGCGTAAAGCTGAAGAAATGCTTGGTGATCGCAAGTGATCTGTGACCGCGTGTTCAAAAACGAGCCGATGTAATCACCGCAGAACGGAAAAAGTCGCGGGTTTAAAAAAATTGGTGCTTTTTATGCACTGTGTTGTATCAGCACAAACTTTGGTACTCATCTGCCGGACGCTTACAATAGCTTGTAGTAGAAACACGAAATCATGCTATTTCCATGTTGCGTTTTGCTGTTTTATTGACACATTTTAGCAGCTCCTGGGCGATTTTCTTGCAGATTTGACTAAATTCCATTTTTCCAGCTAAATTTTGTGCCAATTTTCTGCTCCGGTACCGACAGTTTTGGGGTTTCTTTCGTTTCAGCTCTGGGTGGAGGAGGAGAGGGGAAAGGCGGGAGGGAGGAGGGGGGGAGGGGTGAGGCGTGCGGTTCCTATGAGCTAAGGGTAAGTGAATATAAGTGTGGTTTCCCCCAGGAGAACCAGTGCGATATCTTTACCCGATTGGGTGCGTAACTTGTGGGGCGGTACTTGATCGTCAGGTTTTTTTGCCCTGGTGTGTATAATCACAGTTGGGTGCTTCTGTAAGTGCATACCACGTTTTCGAAAACTCTCCAGGCATGCATATCACTAAAGCACTCTAGCGCTTCTAAGTAGATTTTCTTACCATACCGTCTCAGTTTAACGTTTTGAATTCTGGATTGTGCGGGACTGTCTTCTCACAGGAGAAAGCGATGTGTTTTTTTTTGTGCTAGCATACATAGAGAAACGTTACTCTCGTTTTAACTTGTGGATTCCTGAATTCATTCGTGTAGGAAAATAAAGCTGAAAAATTTGATCAAAACAGCTTGAAGATCAGCCCGGAGCGCTAGTCATTTGTTGTGTTATTTTTTCCGTGTGTTGCAAAAAATTGTGTATCTTACCAATGGTACCCATTTGTGTTATATGTGCTTTTCATAAATAAGTTGAATTAAACAGTGTCGGAAAGCGCTAAAATAGTCAGGAAACATAGGCGAATCCAGCAGGGGAGGGGAGCACAAGCACAAGCGATGAAAAAGCCCGAATCTGTTCATAAATAAAACTAAAGTAACTTTAAGTAGCAGTGTTACAACTCTATTCCTAGTTTTTGCATAGTTCCAGAGTGGGAGAGGGCCCTCCCCCACCCCTTCCTTCCGTCGTTCTCCACTCTCCCAGGAGTCCGTCCTGGATCCATCTATGACAAGAAGTCTCATGATTACAGGAAATGTAACGCAAAAATAGATGGAACACAAAATTTAGTCGAATACGCTCCACTGGTTATAGGTGTGGAAACTAAGTGCTTCTTTCCGATTTGTTGAGAACTGCCTCACGGAATTAATATCCAGGCTCCACTGGCATTTTCATGTAATGTTACATCAGTTTCTTTGATGGCGCACAAACTATTACTGAGCGTCTCCGCCTCTACCATGTCACTTTGGCCTAGGTATGTTATCTATACAAAAGCATTTCTGTCTTGATGTGTCCTGGGAAGAAATTACAGCAGATTCGTAGGGCGTGAATAACTGTGAAAAAAATGCGGCAGCGCATGGGCATTACTGGAACATAATGTTACAGTTATTAGAACTCTTTTAGGAACTTGAAAAAGCATTTCTTCAGCGTAGTTTTCCCCACCGGAGATGGGTGATTAAAATGGAGATTTTTCATCTAATACGTACAATAAAATTTCAAAATAAAGAAAGTACGAAACACCAAACCTAATACAGATTCGCCCATAGACGGATCCAGAATGTTGGGGGTGGGGAGCAATGAGTTTTTCGCCTACGCCTAGCGGCACAGGCACCAGTGCTAAAAAAGCCCGGGTCTTAAGCTAAAACTAAAGGAAACTCTCTTCGGCATCCCCCAGTCGCTCTCCCCTCCCCTACCTCCAATTCCACTTTCCCCCTCCTCCCCTCTCCCCTCCCCCGCGGTTACTGCAGCGCCAGAGGCCTCAGCCCCTTCCTTTCCCCACTCATCACTCCTCCTCCAAAAGTCCGTCCTGGATCCGCCTATGGATTCGCTGAAATGATAAATTAATTGGCACTTACAGTCGAACCCGCCATCAGTTTGCTTGTAAGAGGGAGCCATCAACACTACTGCCTGCGAAATGGCTGCCGTTTGCAGTTGTTACCACTCCGGCACTTCCAAGTGCCTCAGGCATTCAAAGAGAGCAGGAACGGAGTGGGTTTTCACTTTGGTTGTGCCTGTGTTGTGAATTACTATTATTTAATTCATGGAAGTAAGGATTCGTGCAGATTCCTAGCCCTATAATATGCAAATTAAAACGTCATACTGAGGACACCGAGAGAGGACATGGAGATGGACATGAAATTAATGGCCCTATTGTTATGTTAGCTATGCCATGTTGTAAGAAGGCCTATATATCTTTCTGGAG